AAAATGCAATATCCAATATGGCGTCCGAAATTTCCAAAAATTCAAACCTGAGTAACTTTATTTAAAAATCAGAAAACTGTAGTTTTGCAAATGATGAATCTCGTATAAAATAAAGAAAAATCTTAAAAAACTGTTGGAGCCGAGATCAAATTATTTGGTATGAACATCTTGCAGACGGCCCCAACTATTCCTAATTTGTAAATATGTATAATTACTGTTATTATTTCATAATTTGATCATAAATTCATTTAGATATATTCCCTCGTATATAATAAATGAAATTTGGCTAAACAAATATTTTGTGTTACTTAACTGAAAATGGCAGTTGATTTGACAGTTGTCAACCGAAAAAGTTTCACAGCTGTCACAGTTTTAATTTGACATAAAATTCGTGATCAGCATGCCTAAAAACCTAATCAGTGGCATTTTTAAAAAGATTGTTTAATTTTTAGAAAAATTCACAGTCCATTTGACAGCTGTCGAGGTTTTAATTTGACATAAAATTCATGATTTGCTTGTCAAAAAATATAATCAGTTATATTTTCAAAGAGATTTTCTTAATTTTAAGGAAATTGTAAGTTGATTTGACAGCTGTCAAATGTCAAAATATAAATTTTATGGCGTATTCGTATTTAGAATTACAACAATACTACGATCCCGCACTTTTATTATAATCGTAACTGCCCTTCTAACTTTTCGCGTACAGCATGTCTTCTCCCACCACTGTGCAGCTGCACAATACGATCAGCATGGTAAGTGGAGATCTTCGGGGTCATTTAGAGATTATCAAGCCATTCCTGGATGACCCCGACTTATCCTTCTGCAAAACCAAACCTTCTAATTCAGCTTCCCTTAGAAGGGAATAATTTACATACATGAAATAATAATAAAACAGTTGGAATTTAACTTTGAAATAGACTATGGTTGCCATGGAAACCAACCTTATCGTCGTGGCAGCACTACTGGAAGATCTTCTAATAAAGCTTCCACAGTGAAGCTTTTCTTATTGAAAAATTCCTTAAAGATTTATTCATAGTTATAAAAAATTGGAGATAGTTAAGTATTTCGTACGACTCTCCTTGGCAGCAGATATGAAAGTGTGAAGTTTTTTAATAGCTCATACATATAAACAAATTTATCTATGTATGTCATAAATAATGTTTTAGTTATTTTCTTTTAACTAATTAATGCTAAAATTTTGCTGTTTATTCACGTAAAATTTATTTTGTTTCTAGTTTTCTTTTACAGCAGATGATTATATTAACTAGAGTCCGAACGATTAATCGGCCGATGCTGATCGATTATATTCAGGATATAAATTCATTTCAAGAACAACTGCTTTTATTAACTTTTATAATCTAATCAAATAACTAAGTAACNAAAAATAAAATATAGTAGGCCAATACATTTAGTTCAAAATGGTAAGAAGGAAAAAAATTTTTGTAGGAAACTTTTGAAGCAGTTTATTTCTATTTGACACTTGAATCATGGATCCAGTCTTTTCCTAAATTTCATATGGAGACATTGCGCCATCTTAGATTTTAGGTTTTTTGCGATTTACCAGTTTTTTCGTAAATAATTAGGGAAAAGTGCGAAAATTTGGTAAATTTTTATGATTTTTGGCATTTTTCGGCAATTTCTGTTGCAAATGCATAGCATCTTCAAATTCGAAAATTTTAGAGAACTTCATTCTCCAAAACTTTTAACAAACATTTTTTTTTTTCGTGAGACGCATAGATCACGAGCGGCAACGAGCTAAACATAGCGATTTAGATTTAGAGAAGTGGGGTATAATTCATTTCCACATCAATTAATTCGGTAGAGTACGATCGAAAAAATTCTATGGAAAGGATTAGAAAGATTCAAAAAGATCTTAAAAAGATAGCATAGATGCCGCCTTTGAAAACACACTAAATAAGAAAAAGTAACAACGATTTCTTATGTTTTTTTAAGGTTGCTGATTACGAACCTAGATTTAAAAATTCATAATGGCGAATGGCGGCCAAAACACTAAAATAGAGTCGATCTGCTTGAAACGTTTCCCTATTGTGTTCCTTGGGCCGTTTATTACGAATCTGAGGTCAGGTTGGAAAAATTCAAAATGGCAGGCAAACAAATTTTAATCGATTAGATTCGCTTAAAACTTAGATTCAACGGCCCCAAGGACCCCAGTACATTGTTTTCAATTGGGGGCATCTATGCGTTCTCTAGAATTTTGGCTTACGTCCTGTACCGATTAACGTGATGTGTAAATTAATTATGCGCCGCTTCTCTAAGAGATTTTGCGTCGAAAACGACTGTCGTAATCAAAGTCAGCTACAGTGCGTTGCAGTGGAGCATTATCATATTGCAGATTGTAACATCACGTTGAAAGAGTTTAGTAATTGAATAGCAAACTTAAAAAAAAACATATCACATAACAACAACTTGAGATCGTTGTTAATAAAATATAGTAAACAGAAATAAGAAATCTACATACAAAAATATAAGCAGAGCATCTTTTCCTTTACAGCTCCCCTCTTCGGCGCACGTCACTTGCAAAGCTTCCTATCAACGATGCTGCTGCAACGCGTTAACCCCTCGGAGGCTGTTGTGGCAACGATGGATGAGGATTAAAAAAAATTCACACCCAACACTGAGAGTTTAATTGAGACGAAAAAAATTAGTCATTGAACCCAAAACCAGTAAAAACTAGCAATTGACGACATTGTGGCATTTTTGGTTGGTTAAGTTTTCAAATAAAGAAATCTACTTTGGAAGTTAATTATTGATCAATATTTAATTATAATAATCATTAGAGGAAAAACGTTGACTTCACGAAACGATTTTGCTTTCCAACGCTACTTTTTAGTGTTGAGCAGTATCGTTACCAAAGGTACTCCAATTTTTTTAAGTATCGGTATTCAGAAATGATTGTCCTCAATTTCAAGTTTCTGTAATTTTCAAGTACAATACTTGTAGCCATTCATTTGACGTAATTTGGTATGTATTAATATATTAATTTGAGTAAAGTGCTACCAGCTTGTGAAATTTTTACACTGAGCATTGAAATGTTACCAACATGTGTACATATATTTAAAGAAAGTACTCAGTACTCCGCAAAAATACCCGTTCCTTAAAAGTATCGATACCAAAGAACTCGATACTTCCCAACACTACTACATACTATTTTTGCACTGACCGACGCAAATGTTCTTATCAGACGATGCGAAGCACGCCAAGCATTGGCTAGTCTATCTAATAAAACAATAACCAGTTACTTATCAGAACTCGTCAAAAGAAGTGTTCGTATAGCAAGAGCGGTGTCAACCATAAAGTTCAGAAATTTTTGTGCTTGCAAACAGCGTTGGAAAATGAGTGAAGAATTAAGCACAACAAAAGTGGAGAAAGGTTAAAAATAAATAAATAAAATTAATAAATACAAGACTATTTGACCTATCTTAAAAACGATTAATACCACGCAGTGCCGGACAAACAAATGGTGACGCGACATTCTATTTGCGACATGGCTATTTTTCTTTTGTTTATTTTTTTTTTATGAAAGTATAGCCCACTATATAAAAAAAAAA